GCAACAACAAAAATAATAATTATTATTATATATAAAAATAACAGTAAATAGCAACAATGACGATGATGACTGCGCATATCCCTCAATTTGCATAATACAACATGGCAAACGAAAGCAACACAACACGACAGGACAGACAAAACAGAACGACGACGTGAATCACAAAAGACGAGACAGAAGAAGGAGACAAACACAAATACAGACAGCAAAGGAAGAGAATAAGAATTGCGAAACTCTCAACGCAGCTGGCTGGCCTTGAGGCCGTTAGGGTTGAGGGAGGGGTTCATCTGTTTGTTTATTTGTTCGTTCATTGATGTGTTAAATTAAGATATAGAGAAATACATTTGCAGATTCTGTATTGTGGTGTGGTTGTGTGTGTTTGTCGCTTCATCTCACCAGCCCCATTTCGTCAGCGAGGATTCCATTTCTGTTTGCTTTGTGCATCGATACGAGCCAATGAACGCCGCACTTCTGATAGTCTTTAAGGCGCCCCCAACCTTCTCCGCTGTGCTGCTGCAGCGCCTCAGGCACGCCTAGAGAGGTGCTGCAGTGACAGCGCCCTTCTCCTATCTGCATGCGCACGCGTTCTCTGCCCTCGGGGGTGGGGCCCCCAAGCTCCTCCACAAGCAAATCTGTCATCGCCTCTGACTCTTGCAAGCATAGCTGCAGCGCATCGAGCGACTCCTCGTCGCTGTCCGTTCCATCGCTGCTACTGCTGCTGCTGCTGCTGCTGCTGTTGCTGTTCTTCGTGCTGCTTACGGTGCTCCGAACGCCGCTTGATGCGCGAGTGCTCCCTCCTGCGACAGCAGCAGCAGCAGCAGATTCACTATCGCTGCTTGTAGACCCGCAAGCTGCAACACCACCCCTCAAGAGTTTGCGGCGCTTCACAGTGACCTCCCCTGCAGCAGGAACAGCTTGAACAGAAGAAGCGCTTCGTTGCTGCTTCCCTGCTGCGCTGCTGTTCTTGCTGTTGCTCTTGCTGCTGCTCTTGCTGCTACTCTTGCTGCTGCTCTTGCCGCTGCTGCTGGCGGTGCCTCTGCTGCTGCTCCCAAACGATAGCCAACCAGACCTGCCCCCTCCCGTGTCGTGCAGCGAGGCTAGCCGCAAGTTGGGCGTAACGGGCTCAGCTGCATCTGCAGCAGCTGTAGCAGCAGGTGGACGAGGCTGGCTTCCTGCAGCAGGTGGGTCTGCTGGAGATGCGGTTGTAGTGTCTGTACAGTGCTCCATATGGTCTGCTGCAGCAGAAGCGCCTTCCTTCTCTTTTAGTTCTGGGGCGGCGCTGGGGGCTGCAGTTGTTTGTGAGGCATCAGCTGTTTCTGTCTTCTCTTTATTGTTTGCTGCCCCAGCACTTTGCGTTGAGTTCGATAGAGCGGCGCCATAGGCGAAACGCTGCCAATCAATACACTCCACTGGCATCTCCAGTGTCTCGACAAAGAAAAGGAGAACAACACGAGACTTGAAAGCAGACGGAAAAAGAAGAAAAAGTCTCGCAGTACTTCAGCAGAAATGCAGCAGCACCCAGCCAACCCTACAACGGCAAATACAAGTCCCACACTGTCCGCTGAAGAACTCGCATCCGACGCAAAGCAGAATAAGCCGTCCACCGCGCAGACACCACTAAGGTTCACGCCTCCGGCAGTGGATATAGCAAGGAAGCCGTACTGCCCAGGTGTACAGACAACCGAAGAGTGGTACAGGACGCGCTCTGAAGGAAGTGGCTAATGCCAGAAGGCTCCTCTGCGCCTGTTTTTGCTTCTGCTGGGGCTGGTGCTGCCAGTGATGCTGCTTCAGGTGCTGCTGCTGCAGGGACAGATGCGCAGCAAAGCCGCCGCCGTGCAGTTTGACGGTCTTAGGACGACAACAAGGTGAGCTGGCGTCACCAGCAGAGCTCGCCGCAGCAACGGGAGCTCACTGTAGGCGAAGGCGAGACGGTGGTCGCCTGTCTAGCTAAAAATCAACGGCGCTGGAACGAAGTGAAGGGACCTCTAGAAAAGGACCTCGCCCTGGAGTGGGGGGAGCCGGGATGCTCAGGGAAGCACTCGAGGGGCCCCAAGGCCACATAGAGGTCCCAA